TACACCTGGGGCAAGGACTATTATATGAACGTCAGATACACAAATCAATACTCATTGTATAAGCACTCGTCATTGACAATTGGCTAGGGAAATTATGTCTCCTTGATATACATGGTATTGCCATGCCAACGCCATGTATCTCAGGCAGATATCATCCGGTTATGCTGTTGTCTATGTGAAGCTGTTGTAAAGTAAGTATTTGTTATAGTATATCCTTATTGTATACAGACCCCTGCCCCAGGTGATATCTTTATAGGCATCTGTTGTTGAGGACACAGCCTCCAGTTAATTCAAGTAGCAAATGTGACCATTATTACTACCATCCGCTCTCGATTAAACCCACCTGAAAAGTTGTTCGTTGAGCAGATAACAGGCCTATCGATGGTTGCACGACTACGTGCCGCTATCAAGCCGCTATCGAATAGAATCAGAACACTTACTATTACATTATTTGTATAGCCCGTTGCCAGCTACAACGCACCCAACGATAGCCGGTGATCAACCCAAAAAACAACTCCGATGGGTTTCAAGGAGAGCGCTCACAGTACCAGTAACTTGTGAAATGCAACGCGGATTGACTCGGGTTGGTTGCATGAAGAATGATTTTATCCTGTGGACATCCAGTCCTCAGCTGAGATGACGAGATTACAGTCATTCCGATATTGTGTCCTGACTATGGACGATGGTGCGACCGTGAGTTTGAAATGATATTTCATTCGTACGTTCGGACCAAAAAAAGGACCTATGTTCGCGTTCATATGAACAAAATAAATTGGTCCAAAACTTCAGCAATCAATACATATACACAAAGCTCCGGTACGGGGAATCGAACCCCGAGCTGCCGCGAAATCAGACACGATGAAAGGCGGCAATGTTAGCCGTTACACCATACCGGACTTTACTCTAAACATCAAATCAATCAATATAGAGGGCATTGAAGTACAAAATCGTTTGTTCTCTTTATTTGTCTTCTCACTTGCTAATATTCTCACCACCGTTCCAACACCACTGTCTGGGTCTGTCGAAGACACAGCACATGTGTGGTGCGGCATTTAACGTTAT